AACAGTGAAGGAGACTTTTTTTTTTTTTTTTAAATGGCATGAACGGATGACTGGACAGCCAGTTAAACAGCTGTATCAGCCTTTTTATGAAGGATACGCCCTGTGATTGTTACAGATTTGAACGCTGGCTCTGTGCATCCATTTGACTTTTGCGTAAACAGCTTTTGTCAGGTTATGGTATTTATTTTAAAACTAGAATGGCAGAGTTTAGTATTTTCAAAATTTGGAGGCTGTCCTAGTATTTAAATAAGTGTCTTGATATTCCAAAATGCATCTGTAACTCCCAGAGTCATATGAAGACAGGAAAACATTTGGATAATGGAAGAGAAAAAAAGGCGATAAAACACGAGCACTGAAGCTGCTACTCTATGAAATACGGATGTAACTTCTCAGCAGTGCCCGGGCATTCAGGGCAGGCAAGTGGATGCATGGCAGAGGTGTCCTGCATGCACATTCGGAGGGTGCTCCTGTCTTACCTGATGGTCTGTATTGGTTTAGGACAGTGTGCAGGTGACTGAGAGGAATAGGGGAGACCAGAAAACACCCCATGTCTTTTTTTCAGACCAGTCTTTGAAAGGCAGCTTTTAAAGGAGTGGCGTAGGAACTGCTATGGGGTTTTGTGGTACCCGAGACTGAATTTTGAGGATTCAGAGGTGCCCTGTGTGAGTCCTAGGACAACAGAGGAATATGCTTCAAATCTGCAATCCTTATCCATGTTCCTATGGAAGGAACAGATAAAGTGGATTGGTAGTTCATCACAATACAAAGTGCTCAGAAAATCAGCTTTAAAAAATGGAAGTTCATTGTCCTTACTCTTAAATGTAAAAATGAAAGGTTGCTACAGCTCTGAGTATTTAGCATGTTCTCGGGGACTTCAGCATTTCTGTGTCAATAAACTTGGTTTATGTAAAAGCAAAACTTCATGTTATTACAGTGCTATGAAAGAAGTTGCATGACAATGAATTTAAACTTTTTTTCCGAACATTTAACAAAACCTTTATAGCTCGAATGGCACAATTTCAACATTTATTGAGAAAGCATAATATATTTGCATTGATACAAGGACCATACCTGGACAATAAAATGAGTCACAATTTTTCTGGTCATTATAAGGGTTTTTTTTTTAATATTTCTGATTTATGCAACATGTAAAAGAGGCTGCAAAGAAAAAGATCCCACAAAACTATGGCAAACTGAGCATAATGTTGACATCAAACCTACAATCCCCAGTCTGATAGTTTTGGAAATGCAGTGCTGTAATATGTAGCAGTATGAAACACCTTTAAGTGAGGCAGTGATACTAAATTTATTGTACAGATTGACAAGGGAGAGGAGTCACTGCTGCAGTGCTATACAAAGTCTAGGAAATGTTTAATAAGCAGTTAAAAGAAGGGCTTAAAAGCGGAACAAAGAAAGCACGGCATATTTAGAATTGTGTTTCCCATCTGTTCTTGCATTGTTGCAAGAGAAATTAAATTTGGTTTATCATCTGTAGATATGATAAGTATATGAAATTCTGAATATATCTGAATTCTGCTCTGGGAGTTTTGCAATCAGCTTTCATAGAGCAAGGTATTGAAAAGTTTTGACTTTTTGAACATGACACTGACACTTCTTGTATTCTGCAAGAGTAATTTGTCTAGAGTTTAGAGCTTTGTCCTTTCTCTTGTTCAGGGTACCAAATTGTTCTTCTGTAGTGCTGTGGTCCTACTGCAGTTCAGTATGGGTATCCTGATTTTGCTTTTTCTCCCCCTGTATTGCTGAGTTACTTGCTGATGAACTAAGTTTAGTGACGTGCATTACAGTTATTTTAGCCACAGGTTGCAAATGCAGTAAAAAATACCCGAGAAGCATGCTGAACTTGGTACTTCCTATAAACTGCATGGGATTCTATCATGTACATATTAAAAAATTTCAAATTGTTCATTCTAGTCTTTATCTCTCCTATCTGTCTGCCTTTAAATTATAAGGCCTTTGTCCTCCCAGGACTATTAAATCACATAGTACCAATCAGTGCTTTCCTCCTGAGGGCAAAACTTCCTAGATGTAACGTCTCCATTGGGCATTTGCATTAATTAATCGTCTTCACTGATTTTGCGAGGCATGGACCATAAGGCAAATGTAATAGCTACTGATCTAATAATGAGTGTGTCTACAATGATTTTTGCATTTAAAGGTGTTTGTTCATCTCTGATGCTTCAGTAATTTTACCAGTGCAATAGTGTCTTATTGAAAAAAATCCATGGTGCATCAGTGTCCTTTAGGAAACACTTATGAACACAAGAGTTGAAATTTATGTAAACTTGGTCAAATCTGACTGCCTAAATAGGTTCCAGAATCTGTATTTGGAATCGCTAAATACTGAATGACCAAATTTTTTAAGACTCCACATGTCAGTAAATTTAACTTAGGCAATGTTTGTTTGGTGTTGTTTTGTTTTGTTTTGTTTGTTTGTTTGTTTTTTGAGAGATGTTATTGTTTCACTGTTTGAGTTATTGTCTGAATATTTTTTCCTACAGTTGATTTGAAAGAATGCCTTCAGTCTGCAGAGTTTATCAGTTCCAGTGATGGGAACTTCAAAATTCTAGATGATGGTTCTGTGTACACAACGTCTGCTGTTTCTTTGTCTTCTGAGAAGAAGACTTTTACTATATTACTTAAAGACATTCAAGAAGAAGTACAAAAGAAAATACATGTTAGCTTGGTGGAAGATGAAAAAAAGGTGAGCTTCTAAATTAAAGATACTTACTGAAAATACTGTTTCATGGAGTATAGCTTCAGCTGGGTAACTGTAGTTGAATCTGGAATTCAAATAATTAGTCAAAGCACTCTGGTGTAGAGGGCATTTTTATTTAGCAATCGTTGACTACTGTGTTGCTTAAATCAGCAGACTTTCTGAAATGAGAGTTGCTAGCAAGGAGCTTAATCAGGAATTCAAAGAACTTTAAAAGCCATGTTTGAAGAATTAAAGCAGATTTTATTTCTCCAAAGTATTACAATGAATGAAAAAAACTCTTGGAATACTACCACAGGTATAATCAGAAATGAAGACCTTGGAAAAACAAATAGTTGGTAGGAAAACTGGAACAGAAGGAAGTAAGATGGAAATACAGGACAGTAGTTAAGCGAAAATATACACTGTTAGGAATATATGGATATATTCTCACCTGTTTTTTTATCTTCTAGACCCAGACACAGAAGACCAGGCATGCTAGAGATACAGTTCTTAAAAGAACCAAAAGAAGGTGGGGCCCTATTCCATCTGTAATGTTAGAGAACTCACTGGGACCATTTCCACTACAAATACAGCAGGTATATTTTAGACGAATCCTAATTTTATGATCCAAGCTAGTTTTGTATGTGACTTTTATCATGAGAGAAGAAGAAAAGTGAGATTTCTTGTATTGCCTCCTGATGCCGTTCCTGCTATTATTTCTTTTTCTTGTTCTGTCCCGTTCATTGTGTAACTTGTGAAATGACTTGTGATCGTAATTGTTGGAATGAACTGGAAATGTGCAAAAGTTTTGAAAAAGAGAGAGGCATGCTATCAGGAGAGAGCCCTTTGGCCTGGATCAGTGAAGTGTGTAATTAAAGAAAAATAACAAACCGACCCCCACAAAACATTGCCTAGAAAAAGGATTTGTTGACACAAAGTGGGGGAAATCTTACCTGTTTGTCTACATCCTTTCCAGGGCTTGAGGTGTATACCTGTAGCATTGAAGACAGAGTAGGGCCTATATTATTAGGAAAAGTACTTACTGTAGGAAGACAAGTAGGCGTGAAAGAGAAATGCAAGAACTAAAGTTATCATAGGTCCATCTAGCCTTTGTTAGATTACAGAGTGGCTGGTAGCAGATGTGTAGAGACAAGTGTAATAACAGAGTCTGTGCAGAGCAATCAGTCTTCTACTAATCTTACCTTCCTAACTTCTGGCATTCAGTAGGTAAAGGAAAGTATTTGGGGAGGAGCGTGTTTATAAATAGATAACTGCTAATGTTACCTCCTTGGTGCTTGTGATGAGATGAAAGAGGCTATGTGAATTGGCATATCTGTGGACTATAGGTGGTCCTCTCTTTCTCTCCCTCTCTCCTCTCTTTCTCTCCCTCTCTCCTCTCTTTCTCTCCCTCTCTCCTCTCTTTCTCTCCCTCTCTCCTCTCTTTCTCTCCCTCTCTCCTCCCTTTCTCTCCCTCTCTCCTCTCTTTCTCTCCCTCTCTCCTCTCTTTCTCTCCCTCTCTCCTCTCTTTCTCTCCCTCTCTCCTCTCTTTCTCTCCCTCTCTCCTCTCTTTCTCTCCCTCTCTCCTCTCTTTCTCTCCCTCTCTCCTCTCTTTCTCTCCCTCTCTCCTCTCTTTCTCTCCCTCTCTCCTCTCTTTCTCTCCCTCTCTCCTCTCTTTCTCTCCCTCTCTCCTCTCTTTCTCTCCCTCTCTCCTCTCTTTCTCTCCCTCTCTCCTCTCTTTCTCTCCCTCTCTCCTCTCTTTCTCTCCCTCTCTCCTCTCTTTCTCTCCCTCTCTCCTCTCTTTCTCTCCCTCTCTCCTCTCTTTCTCTCCCTCTCTCCTCTCTTTCTCTCCCTCTCTCCTCTCTTTCTCTCCCTCTCTCCTCTCTTTCTCTCCCTCTCTCCTCTCTTTCTCTCCCTCTCTCCTCTCTTTCTCTCCCTCTCTCCTCTCTTTCTCTCCCTCTCTCCTCTCTTTCTCTCCCTCTCTCCTCTCTTTCTCTCCCTCTCTCCTC